GGTCGCCACCAGCGCTCCAGTCTGAAGACCTGTCCGGCAGCGGGCCTCGGGGGCACCAGGGGCGAAGCCGGCCCTGGCCTTCCGATGCGGCCTTTCCGCTGCCCCGCGGGCGCCGATGTGGGAGCGGCTCGGGCCCGACCTCTCGCTCCCCGACGGCTTCCCCACGGACGGCCCCAGCTTTCTCTTCGCTCGGTAGCAAAGCACGGGATCCTGGCATACCCTCTCAATTCTCAATCCAATTCTTAGTGTCGGTTGGCGTCGATTCGCGTCTGGAGTCTACGTTGTAGCGCCAATTCAGCGTCGATGAGCGCCGATGTAGTAGCGTCGATGAGCGTCGATTTAGCGCCGGCCTCTCCGCTCTTCCTCCCGCGCAGCGGCCTCGCGGCTCGTGTCGACCTCGGCGACTCGCACGTCTGTGTGAGAGGTTTCTCTTATTCTCCTCCTCCTCGTCCTCCTCCTCCTCCTCCTCCTCCTCCTCCTGGTCCTCCTCCTCCTCCTCATCCATCTCCTCCTCTTCCTCCTCCTCCTCCTCCTCCTCCTCCTCCTCCTCCTCCTCCTCCTCCTCCTCCTCCTCAGAGAACCCCTTTCGCTCGTGCCGAAACCTCGGAGGAGAAGGAGCGTGGCTCGTCGTTTCCTCCTCCTCCTTAGAGGTTTCGACACGAGCGAAAGGGGTACGGAGAAGATGGGCACAGAGATCGGCAGCAGTTCCTGCTCCTTTCGAACAGGGATCGCTGTCGATGTCGCCGCGGACGTGGTTCATTCGAGGCAGAAGGCCGCCTGCCCAACAGCGGCCGCTGTCGGTGTCGGGCAACATTTATTGCTAGGCATCGTACCCCTTTTTCCCGTACCTATTTCGGGCGTGCGAAAGGTTTGCGTCGTGTCGAAAGGCGGCGACCCCGTCGCCGGCGTTCACGGTTGAACGCCGGCGGCGGCCCACAATCGGCCGATGTTGCACGATCTGATGTTACGGAAAGGGCCGATTGTTCGAGGTTGAACGGTCCCCGCGGTGTCAGGGATCAGGTGTCAGGGATCAGCGCCGAAGTCGGCACGACACGAACTTGCCGTGCAGTCAACCAGCATGTTAAGGATGCGCAACCTTCCCGAGGGTACCCCTGCATCATTGCGTCCTCGGTCCATCCTTGGCCACTTTCGCTGGGCACGCCCCGCTCGAAAAGCTTCGAAGTGGGCGTCCTCTGGCCCTTGCATCCGCACCGTGCATCCTTGTGATCTACGGGCCGACCGTAGCTGGTTGACCCCCCCGAAGGGCCCATCCGCACCGCCGCTGCGGCACCGTCCGTGCGCGGGCCGACCCAGAGGCCGCTCTTTTTTTTTTTTCCCCCAAGGCTTTGGGCGGCACGGTTCTGCTCTCGAGGGCCTCGTCTCCACGGCTGGACGCGGTTCGGGCGGTCCTCTCGGCGCAGGGCCTCTAAGACGGCCGAGGCATTCCCGAGAGAGCACCAGGAGGGCTCCACAGGGGCCATCTTAGCGCATGTCGGAAGCCTGGGTTCCAAGTCACGTTTGACGAGTTTTCGGGGAAAGGGAAGAGCGCCAGGTAGCGCCGGTGAGTTCTGGAAGCTCGTGGTCTGGGTGTCTTTCGCAAGAGCTTGCAATCATCAGTGCTGCAGACTGGGGGAGCTGAGGGCACTCCACACCCTGCCTCGCGGTGCGGTGGCGGAGTTTGGCGTAAGTCTCAGGCGTAAGCTCAAACGTACGACCGATAGTGATTGAACATTGCGTGCCTGCATGTCAGCTTCTTCTGCTTCCGGTCTCCTCCACGAAAAACAAGCAGACACCTTCCTCTGGATTGTGCCTTGGCATCAGGGGAGGGTGGCGGTGCATATAAATCACCACAAAGAGCCAACGATGTTGTACACGTGGAGGTGCATGTCAAATTCGTCGGAGAGTGTCTGTGCATATATTTTCGTGGCGTCGGATCGCCGACGGCAGCTTCTCCACAGCATGTGTTGCTAATGCGCGTGGCATGCGCGCCGCACGCGCGAGTCAGTTTTGATAGAAAGGCGGTGGTGCTTGCACGCGCGAGCTAGTGCGATTTGCTTTGCACTATAAGACGATGCTGACAGGATTACTCTGCACTTGCAAATGGGCAGCCATTCCCATAGGGTCTTCGAGTGCATCTCACGTACCTTTCTTCCGCGGCATTGGTCACGGATGGTAGCCCGAGCAAGGCTATCATAGTACATTGAATCGCGTGAGGTTTGGCCTTCGTGAGTAGGCGAGAACCCTGCGAGCGCGGGGCGCCTTCTTTGGCGCCCCTTCCTGCAGGCCCAAGCACCTGCCTGCGCATGCCGCCACGGATGCTTGCGCCTCACGCGCAGCACGCGCACGGGCACGCTTGCACATAACACCGCACGTGCGGGCACACGCTCGCGCACGCTCGTGATGCCGTGCCTGTGCGCAGTCCTCGGCTGTCACTGTCGCACTTGCTCACATATGCTCATGTCCACTGAGCGCACGCTCTGCATGATGGAGACGCTGAGTCGTGCTCTCGCCTCGGCGCCAGCCATGCTCTGCGCTCGGAATGGTGCCGTCGCCCGAGCGCTGGCCTCGATCTCGCCTCGCAGGAAGCTTATGCCTGGGCGCTGGCCACACTCCTGGCTCACGGTGACCATGCTCGCCTCAATTTCGAGCCTACTAGTACTGCCAGCTTGAAGTGGTGCTCTCGCACGAGAGGTTCGATGTGGCCTTATTATTCCATGCTTGCTCCACGTGCTAATTTGGATATCTGCGCCTCTGTGTACCCAAATGCCGCGAGTCCTCACCGCCGTCTCCCCTTGCTGCCTGCCCCGTCCCCGTCATTCAATTCCACCCTTCCATCTCCGTTACCATGTCGTCTGTCTCTTTCTCATTTTCTCTGTTCCTCTCTCTCACTCTCTTCCTCTCTCCCTCTCTCGTCCTCTCTCTTCCTGTTAATACCCCTCCTTCTCTCCCTCTCTCACTCCCCCTCTCTTTCTCGATCTCCCTTACCGGCGATGGCGGGGGGGGGGAAGGGGGGCGGGGGGCAAGCGACGTCACGTCTCGTGCCAGCGCCGAATGCCTGGGAAGAATCACCTCGTCGGTCAGCACGAAGCGTGCCGCCAACTGGCTGGGGGGGGGGCGTTGGGAGGGGGGAGGGGGGGAGGGGCGGCCAGGGCGGGCCACGGCCGCGACCGCGACACACACACACACAGACACACACACACACACAGACAGACAGACAGACAGACAGACAAACAGACAGACAGACAGACAGACAGACAGACAGACAGACAGACAGACAGACAGACAGACAGACAGACAGACAGACAGACAGACAGAGAGAGACAGACAGACAGACAGACAGACAGACAGACAGACAGACAGACAGACAGACAGACAGACAGACAGACAGACAGACAGACAGACAGACAGACAGACAGACAGACACACACACACACAGAAAGAGTGCGCCCTTCTCGATATGCGGCCGCCCGGGCCGCTCCGCGTCCCGAGGCCGGAGCACCGCCGGAAGCACCGCCGAAGGCACTAATTAGGCCGATCACTTTCCCGCGGCCTCCCGCCGCGCCGTGCCTCCCACCTCCTCCTCCTCCTCCTCCTCCTCCTCCTCCTCCTCCTCCTCCTCCTCCTCCTCCTCCCCCTCCTCCCCCTCCTCCTCCTCCCCGGGAGCGCGGCCCGCAGCCATTTTGGCTCTGTCCGCGGCCACGGGCGGGAGGGGCCGATCCTCCACCGCCGCTGCACCAGAGGGAGGAGGCTCGAGGAGGAGAAGGAGGAGGAGGAGGAGGAGGAGGAGGAGGAGGAGGAGGAGGAGGAGGAGGAGGGGGAGGGGGAGGGGGAGGCGGAGGAGGAGGAGGAGGAGGAGGAGGAGAAGGAGGAGGAGGAGGACCTCCCCGTCCTCCCTTCTTCCCCGCTCTACCCGTGGTGGCGGGGTGGAGAAAATCGGCCCCTCCAGGCGGCCCCCTCGAGAAGCTCCGCGGGGCCCCGCTCTGCGCGCCCGCGGCCCTCCGCGCGGATCCGCCGCTCAGCGGGCCGCCCGGCGACCCGGCCGCACAGCGCTGCCCGCGGCGTAGCGCCGCCCGCGGCCCGCGCCGCGGGGCGCGCGGCTCCCCGGCGGAGGGAGGAGGCACTTAGATTTCCAACGCATTTCTCGGAGAAAGAAAATCGCCATTAACATAAGTTTCTGGCGCCAGCGCAGATCCAAGAAATCCGCGCGGAGCGTCATACAGCATGTTCAATGCATCTGGTCTTCTTTCAGACAAGATACTCGCACCGCTACCCTTCCCGCGCCTTCCCCTTGTTCGGGCCTCCCAGGGGAGGCCCTCGTCGCCACCACTGGTTTCGCCTTGAAATTCTGGTGATGTTAAGAGCGAGGTCGGTTCGGGGAGGGTGCCCTAGTGTTCTTTGTGTTTGTTGGACGTTCTCTTGTGCATCCTGGGGAGGGTACCCTGGGCTGTTCTGTGTGTTTTGGCCCGTGGAGGGTCTCATGTCCTTTAAGGATGTTATTCTGGCCTAGGCCGAACTGTAGGAGATCGACTGCAGAATCTGGTTGCACCCGTCTTTTCTGTTGTCGACGATGCTGCGAGGAGTGCGTGGAATGCTCCGTAGATCTACAGACGAGTATACGTCTACTTACGTTTCGTAGGTTGGGCGAGAAGTTGAATCTAGGGGCTCACCACTTCGAGTGTCGACCTCCGACTCGAGTAGTTTAAACTTACATGCGGAGGTTTTTCGCCGTTTTCGCCCAAGAGCGTCAAAACACGATTCGGGATGCAAGACCGGACCTGGGGAAATGGTCGGGACTTCCGGGGACACCGCATTGAACAAATCACGACATCAGATCTCAGGGTCGGTGCGAACACCGCTACCCTTGCCACGTGTTCGCCTTCGGGGGGCCTCCTGGGAGGTCCTCGCGTCACCACGGGGAGATCCGCCTCGGAATTCTGGTCAGAACGCACCTCGCGAGAGGTCCAGGGGGAGCACGGGCATCGGCACCTTTTGGTCCGCCCAGGCCTCCCGCTGGTGCCAGAGTGCCGACAGCCGCAAAGCCGAAGGGGGCGCGCCGGCGGTTCAAAGGTGGGGCCTTCTTCAGGGACGGGGCCCCGAGGACGGAGGTGGTGTTCAATCCTTTGACGCGTAGCGGTCGTTGCCTAGGCTAAACCCCTCCGCTCCACTGAGGTACCGGTAGCGATCGTGCGGAGGTGGGGTGGACTTGGACCCCTCTCCACAGGTTGTTGATGCTCGCGCGCGTACTATGGCGGTCGCAGCGCATCCCCGCCCCGACGAGCCCCACCCAGCCCAGACGACACCGCTAAGTGGGGGCCCACCCCAGAGAACGACCGTTACTGGGAGTGAAAACAATCTCACGAGAGGCATCAAGCAGTTGGGATCCGTTCAGGTTGGAATCCCTTTCAGGTGCCTGCACTGGGCATTGACAAAACGCCACCAGTCAAGTCGACTGAGGAAATCTGCACCGGTTCATTCGACATTTGGCATTCGAATGTGCCAGTACACTCGGACCCTGGTTGTTTTTGGACGTAGATTAGCTACCCCGCTGGGGTGCACTCGGAATGCGGTTCCGTGCGCACGTGGAGTGCCCCTGGCAGCTTCCACGTAAGTTGCAGAGGTGCAGGTTTCGCTTGGGGCTGGGTGTCCCCTGGAACGATCGAACCCTCCTGGAGTCCTCCGTCCTTTCCAGAGCGTTGCTGGAACGCCCTCATAGCGTTTCGGAGCGCTCTGAGAAGGCCGCGGCACCCAATACATCCTCCAGAGCCGCCGAATCTCAGAGATTTGACCTCATCCGGATTTGTCCTCCTCCTGGCTTCGTCTTATCGAAGACACCTACGGCGAATCACCGCCGCCCCCTGCTTTTTTGGAAGCGCCTATGTGGCCAAACGTTGAGGCCAGACCTGCCAAGCTATCGGACCATGTGTTCCCCGAATCGGTTTGGAAAGCCTTCGGGGAACACGTGGGCAGCTTGAACGTCATCTTGGCCGTCTGGAGGCCATTTTGACCCTTTCGGGCCTTCTTGGAGAACGTCTCGGAGGGCTCTTGGGCCGTCTTGGAGGCCATCTTGAGCGTCTTGGAGACCTCTTAGGCCGTCTTGGGGGCCTCTTGGGGCCGTGTCTTGGGCCTCTTGGGCGATCTTTGGGGGCATTATGGCCGTCTCAGGCCGTCGGAAGGCAGAACAAAAAGCAAATGCAACAATCCTTCAAAAACCCATGGGAAATCAATGATTTTGTCCTTTTCGGGCCTTCCTGGAGGCTTTCTTGGAGGCCTCTTGGGCAGTCTTGGGCCATCTTAGGGCCATGTTCGGCCGTCTTGGTGGGCTCCTGGTCCGTCTGACGCCGTCGGAAGCCGTTTGGGGGGCCTCTATGGGCCGATTTGTGGCCCTCTTGGAATGCGGCAGGGCCGTCTTGGAGGCCATCCTGGGCGTCTTAAAGGCCTCCTGTGCCGTATTGGGAGCATCTTGGGGCCGTCTTGGGGCCCTCTTGGGCCGTTCTGGGGCCATCTTGGAGGCCTCTTGGGAGATCTTTCGGCGATCGTTGGGGGCTCTTGGGCCGTCTCGGGCCGTCGGAAGGCCGAAAAGAAGCAAATGTCAAAATCAGTCAAAAACCATAGGAAACAATGTTTTTGGCCTCTTCTGGCCTTCCTGGAGGCCCTCTTGGGGGCCTCTTGGGCCGTCTTGGGCCAGCTTCGAGCCAACTTTGGCCATCTTGGTGGGTTCCCGGCACGCCTGACGCCGTCGGGAGTCGTCTTGGGGGCCTTTCTGAGCCGACTTGGGGCCCTCTTGGGGCGCTTCGGGGCCGTCTTGGAGGCCATCTTGGGCGTCTTGGAGGCCATCTTGGGCGTGTTGGAGGCCTCTTGGGCCGTCTTGGGGCCCTCTTGGGGCCGTCTTGGATGCAACTTGGGCCGTCATGGGGCCCTCTTGGGGGCCTCTTGGGCGATCTTGGGGGCCTCTTGGGCCGCCTTGGGCCGTCGGAAAGCCGAAAAGGCGCAAATGCTAAAACCCTTCAAAAACCTGAGGATAATAATGTTTTTGGCCTCTTCGGGCCTTCCTGGAGGACCTCTTGGAGGCCTTTTGGGCCGTCTTGGAGGCCTCTTGCGGGCCTTTTGGACCGTCGTAGACCGTCTTGGGTACATCTTGGGCCGTCTTGGAGGCATCTTGGGGCCATCTTAGCCGTCTTGGAGGCCATCTTGGGCCGTCTTGGAGACGTCTTAGAGACCATCCCGGGCCATCTTGGCCGTCTTGGACGCCATCTTGGGCCAATTGGAAGAAACAGATGCACGACGTTTTGAGCGCCTTTCCGGGTGGCCGGCGGGACGCGCCGGAGCCCAAGGGGGAGTTCTTTTGGAAAGCGAAGCAAAACCAACACCGAGAGGATTTAACACGCCAGGCACCCCTTTGATGAATCGACAGGGAGCGGCGGATCCAGCTGCCTACGGCAAGTCCCGCCACCGTGTTTGGGTTATCAGCCTAGTGGATGTTTGTTGGAATCTCGTGGGAGGCCTCTCGGGGGCCTCCTTGGAGGTAGTTTGAGGCCTCTTGGGGGCCGTTTGGGGGCCCCTCGGGGGCCTCTCGGGGGCCCCTGGGGCGCCTCTCAGGGGCCCTCGGGGGCTTCTTGGGCGCCTCTTGGGCGCCTCCTGGGGGCCCCTCGGGGCGGGCCCTGGGATCGTCCTGCCTCGAGGGCCCCACCTCTGCGCCGCCGGCAGGGGGTGCTCGGCGCCGCTGCTGGCATGGGCTGCGGGGCCGTCGGCCGGGGGCCGACGGTCGGCGGGCCGTCGCCGCCCCGCACGAAGGCGCCCGCCGTGCCCGAGGACACGCAGGGCGCCTGGCGCACGGCGGTGGCGGGCTGCGCATCCCGAGTGAGGAGGGCCACCACAGGATTGATATACTCCAGGATGACGTCGGCGTCGCCGCACAGTGACTAATACAATGTGTGCGTCTCCCCCCCCCCCAGGGGCGACGCGCGCGCCGAGAGGTCTTGCATTATATGCGTGGTGGCGGGCGCTGTCTGGCCGCACCGCTCGGGAAACGATACACTGCAAGGTGGGTATACTATATGTTCGGGTCGGACGCGCGTCTCCAAGGAGGACACATCGTACTAATATGTCTCTGTGCGTCCCATTAAGTTTCCCGCCGAGCACACAAGATTTAAGAAGCACGTAGAATGTTCGTAGCTCTAGGGGGCAGTGTACGTATTTTTCCGGCGACAAAAAGGATTTTGAGGAAAATCAATTCTGTAGCCGATCCCCCATTCCAATATCGGTCGTTGAAAGTAGTCGACTACACGTAAGAATGACCCTTCGCGGGAGTGACCTTGGCTGCGGGCTCGTCGGGCCCCCCCCCCGAGCGTTGAGCGCGATGGTTGGCAGTTGCTTGCGCCCTTGGGTTCGGCTGCCTCATGCCCCCTCGGTCCGTGCACCAAAGGTCACTCTTGCCTAAGGTCGATCTTTGCGTGTAGCCGGAGCAGGTGTTTTCCCACATCCCTCGAGTCATGGCAAAATCGCGACGGGAGGTTTTTCGCTATTTTCGGCCTTTGGGGGCCCTGACCGGGCAGCGAGGCCGTCCAATACCACTCGGGTTGAAAAGCCGGTCCCGGGGAATGGGTCGAGACCTCGGGGGGGTGATCCTCACGAACGAAATAGGCACGGAAAGAATGGTTCATTTTGAACAGGACTCGCTGTCCGCTCCGCCGCGGCCTGTGTCCATTTGAAACAGAAGGCCGCCTGCCCAACAGCGGCCGCTGTTGGTTTCGGACAACATTTGCTGTTGGACATTGTACCTACCCATCTCGGGCGTCCAAAGTTGACGTTGTGAAAATATCATGGCCTCGGGGTCTGGGCTCCCAGATCCCAATCTACTTTAGGCGCCTTCCCATTTCAGGGGTCGAGCGTTTCCCTTCTCTCTTCGTCTCCAGGGGGCGGTTCGAGATCCCAACTACTTCCAACGCCTCCTAACTTAATGTTTTCGCCCATCTCTTTCGACCGATGGTTACACGTAAGGGTGACCTTTCGCGGGGGTGACCTTTTCAAGGGAGGCCAAGCGTACCCCAGTACAGACCCAGACATGCTCGCGCTGTAAGAGAAAAACAGGACAGGCGCGGGCCCCCAGAGGCCTTCCCCCGTCATCCCTACACTCCCCCTCGGAGGGGAGGGAGGGCGCGGGGGCTCCACGGAGCCTTGCACCCGTGCGGCCGTAGTGATGGGCCCTCGCGCGTCCGCGAGCTCTCTCGATCGCGCGCCCCTGGGGCAAATGCCGCGTCCGTCGCGCGCCTTCGGGGCGAGCCAAGGGATGACGAATCGCGCGGAGAAGCGATTGTGCGCGCGGCAGGTCGCTTCGATCTCGTGCGAATGCAATAAGATCCCATGTGTAGCGAGCTGCTCTTGTTGAGAAGTCACAGCGGTCATACATACAGACATCTATACACACATATCTGTATGTATGTATGTATGTATGTATGTATGTATGTATGTATGTATGTATGTATGAATGTATGTATGTACGTATGTATGTATGTATATGTATGTATGTATGTATGTATGTATGTATGTATGTATGTATGTATGTATGTATGTATGTATGTTTGTATATATGTATGTATGTATGTATGTATATATGTATGTATGTATGTATGTATTTATGTATGTATGTATGTATGTATGTATGTATGTATGTATGTATGTATGTATGTATGTATGTATGAATGTCTGTATATATATATATGTGTATGTATGTATGCCTATTGCGCGGCGTTGAAGGTACGTTTCTCTTGCGTGGCGCGCAGGGGGCTCTGTATTCTGCGCGCGCATTAGTGCGCAGGGCGGGGAGGGCATCGCGAACATGAGGCAGTTCTCCAGCCAGCATGGCGGTATTGTTCGAATCAGCTTGGCACTTGTTGTGTATTTCCGAAGTGCTCCTTTCTTCGCGCGAACACGTGTCGTTCGACTAGTGAGAGTATCTGTGGGCACGCTCCCGTATCTTTATGGGTCGACGCTCCCGTGCCACCGTTGAGCCAGTTGGAGACAAGGCGCCGCCAGATTGGTCCCGAGTGGAATACTCAAGGGGCTCACCTGGCAGGAACGCCGACCACCGAAGCAAACAGGGCAACTGCACGGCAGCACGCACTGCTGCCCCGCCTTGCGGGGCAACGCGTATTCGCTGCCCGAATGCGCAGCCCAGGCGGTGCAATGCGCGATTGACGAACCTGATGCGAAACCCTCCTGCGAGCGCCGGTCGCCTCAACCCCGACCAGAGCACGCCCACAGGCGCCGACGAGCGAGCAGCAGGCCAGTCAACCAACCAGGGCCGATCGACCAACCCGGATGAGGAAACATGGACCGCGTGGCAGCCCCACGCAGAGGATGCCAGCCTCTGCAAGGCCACCAGCTGTGAAGCTTTCTCACGGAGGGATGGTCTCCCGTGCCTCGAAGGCATTGCTAGGCAGTGGGATTGAACGCCAGAGAGGCCAAACAAGGCCAGGAGACAATGAGGCCAAGTACAAGCTTACCCTGGCGATTTCCCTGTCCCCCAAAACGCTTCGCGATTTGGGACCGATTTGCATATTTCTCTGAATTCTACCCTGTAGGAGGACACGCCCGACATAACCCTCGGGGCCCTCGCCGGGCCCCGGGGTTTGTCAAAAAACCGATTCGAGATGACAAACGGACAAACCGGCCCCAGGGAGTAGTCGGGACTTCCACGGGCCCCGTGCTGAAACGAACAGAACATCGCATGTCTGGGGACGTACCATGGAGACGGGGCCTCAGGGCCCACCTCGGGTCGCTCAGCGGCTGCCGTTTTGTCGCCCCCCGTGGCTGGAACCGCGGCTGCTGCGACACCTCGCTGGGGGTAGTCGCTTGGGAACAAGCCATGAAATAAACATGAAAGCTCGGAGGTCCGCGCGGATTTCGGATCGGCGCTGGAGCCCCTTGGCGGCGCCTCTGACGCCGCCAGGGAGGGGAGCCCAGCGCCGATCTGGCGAATCCATGCGGACCTTCGAGATTTCATGCTACTGCCAGTGTTTGTTCCCCTATTCTTGCGCGGGCACGAACATTCCACGACATGCTCAGGTCATGGAAAAATCGAAGCGGGAGGTTTTGTGTCGTTCTGGGCTTCTGGGTGCTTTTGCGGGGCCCCTAGACTGTCAAACAACGTTGTATGTATGAACAAACAGTCCGGGGGAAGGGGCCTGGGCTCCCAGGGACAAAATATACAACACAAAAAAAACAGACATCGCATGTCTGGGTTGGGGCGTCCAAATGGCTGAATTCGATCCGATAGCGACGGATTGCCTACGGCCGCTCTGGCGTGTAGCCGAGGTGGCCGCGTACTACGACTTCAACGGGTCCACATACGGGTCTGAGTTCATCGAGGTCCTCCAGGCATCCTTAAAGGAGGATCAAGGCAAGTGGGGTCGGAGGATTAGGCCATATCGCAAATACATCGCTGATGCGGTTCGATGCAGAGCCCGATTGTCTCCATGCCGACGTCGCCGATGCATCGCCGACGTCGCCGATGCATCACCGATGCATCGCCGATGCGGTCGTCGCGTGCTACGACTTCAACGGTTCGCATACGGGTTTGCTTTCTTCGAGGTCTCCGATAGCAAATTCTGGGAGCCTTGTGTGCCTCGTAGTTCCGTGTTTGCGCCAAGTTAGAGTCGACCTGCGTCGGTTTAGCGTCGACCAGCGTCAATTAGCGTCGATTCGCAAGAGCCAACAAGACGGTACGGGAGGCTCCCATGAGTTGCCGCAGAAGAGGTCCGCAAGGGGGACCTGCTTGTCAGGGGTCACCACCCCTACGAGAAGAACGGCTGGGTGTACGCCGCGGTCTTGGCCGCGACGTGGTCGGACGGAGACTCGTGGGCCCTGCCACGGCTGAACTGCCACGGCTGGGTGCCGGAGTGGCTGCTGGAGCCCCCCCTCGAGGCAAAGGTCCGGGTCGGGCGGCAAGGGGAACTTTTGGGACAGGGGGCAATGCGGGGGCGTCCGAAACCTGCCGCGTGCAGCTGGTTGCGCCCCTGCCGGCATGCCACTTCCTCGATACATTGCCGCATCCAGGGCGAGGAGGCCCCGAGAAGACCCGCTGCAGCTGATTCGCCAGCTCCCTGAGGCTCGGGTCGACTGCAGAATTGAAGACGTAGGATGTTCGCAAATCTGCGGGGAAAGTTGAGTATTGTTCCGCAGGCTCGACGAGAACCCAGAGATCGGATGACATGATTTTTTCAATACGTGATCCCCAGAAGTCTCGACCCATTCCCCAGGACCGGTTTTTCATCCCGAGTCGTTTCTTGACGGTCCCGAGGCCCGGCGAGGGCCCCGTCCGAAGTTTGCGAAAAAACCTCCGCCTTGACTTGTGCAGTGCGTTGGCTCTCTGGGAACCCTGAGATTTTGGGGGTATACACCGACTCTGCAGGGTCGACCCCCTGCTCGCTGGCCGCCCCCCCGCTCCGCCCGCCCCGACGGCAAGGCGCTGCCGCATCCCTCCGGGGCTCTGCGCGCGGCCGGCTCCCTGGCCCCGGCCTGCAGCTGCGCCTCCGACCGCCCCCTCCCGCCGGACGCGCCCCGCGGAGCTCGTGGGGGCGGCAACGTCGTGCTCGTCGTCGTCTCCCTTTTGTTTACCAGAAGAGGAAAGCGCCGAGATCCAACGCATGGGCAACAATCAAGACGGAGGTTTTTCGCAAATTTCGGCCCTTGGGGGCCCTCGCCGGGCCTCGGGACCGTTAAAAAACGAGCGAGGACGAAAAAACAGTCCCGGGGAAAGGGTCGGGACTTCCAGGGACGCCGTATTAAAAAGTCAGGACGTCGCATGTCTGGGTACCTCCAGCCTTCCTTCGTTTTCCCCGTTTTGGGGCCTCCTGGGAGGCCCTTGTCGCCGCCGCTGGAATCGCCTCGAAATCCTAGTCAGAACGCACCCCGGGAGAGGTCAGGGGAGTAGCGGTATCGGTAACTTTTGGTGGCCCCAGTTTTGCTTATCGGCGCGGACCCTCGCACGCCCCTTTTTCCGACCACCATGGAGTAGATCCTGGCTGTTTCTGGCGCCTGTTTCGAGCAGGTGGAGTCTCCCCCATAGGACGCACGGTTGCAAACGGTCTCGCGAAGCAGAGGTCCAGAGCGGGACTGCTCCCCCCTCCCCCCTTCCGCCCAATGCCGAAACGCCGGAAAAGAAAACGTCGAAGAAGAAAAATACACAATCAACATAAGCTTTTGCGCGCGCTCCGCGCACCAGGGAGGAGGGTCCAGCGCAGATCCAAGAAATCTGCGCGGAGTGCCAAAATTTATGTTTATGGCTATGGCTGTTCTTTTCTCCTAATGTTCGTACGCGTAGCCTCGCGGGCCAGCCCTCTGGGCCGCGACTCCACTGATAATGCGGGGCGTTTTCTCGTGCATGATCTCTACGCGGAACGCTGTGTTCGTGCGGGCCAGCCCCCCCCGGGCCGCGAATCCACGGATTTTAATTGCGGGGCGTTTCTTCGCGCAGGCCCCGTGCGGAGCGTGCCCGTGCGGCCGCGCCCCCGCGGCATCGCGCCCCGGAGTCCTGACCGCGAGGGCGCGGATGCGGACCCAGAGTCAAGTCGGCATGTCCCTCTACAGGGGGATTATTGAAAAATAATCAAAAGATAGTCTGGGGACGATGTTATTTGGACTACTTTTCATTTTTCGTCCAAGATCCGCCTGAAGGAGGACATGCCCGACCTCACCCCCAGGGGTCAGACGTCGTGATTCTCGAGGCGTGCTCTGACGGTCCCAGGGTCCCCCGGCGAAGGCCACGGAGGCAGAAGAGTTTGCCGCACCCCCGTGCATCGTGATGCCTGCCACGACGCGAGCACGTGTCCGGGGGCCCCGACTCCCGACCGCACGTTTATGTTCAGAGTCTTGGCCCCCCAACGGCAAAGGTCTCGACCACTTGCCCGGGACTTGACGACCCCAAGGCGTAGTAGTCCAGGGCCCCCCGACGCCGAACATGGCGAACCAAACGCCCGTCGTGATGCTTCTGCGCCTCGAAGGGGTCTGGGGATGTGTTCCCCGCTCTTGAGGATCGGCGGCGAGCGAGGGGTGGAAGTGAGAAGGGGCGGGCCTTCTCAGAAGGCTCAGACGTCCCCCAGCCTTCTGAGAAGTGTTCGAAGCCTTCCCCGAAGAGACGCAGAAAGCTCCTCAGAAGGCGCGAGGGCTTCTGAGAAGTCCCGCCGCCTTCTGAGAAGGCCTCCTCCTCCTCAAAAAAGACAGTTGCAGCACGAGCATCACAGCCCGTGTGACGAGGTGCTCAGCCGACTCGTTTGGCCCCTTCTCAGGCGTGGCGCCTCCTTTAAAGGCGCCCGCTGCGCAGCTGCAGATTTCGCTGGGCCCTCTCCTCCTGCCCACCTCCCGCGCCCGCTCGCCGCCGAGTGAGGAACCGCCTCCCGGGCCGAGCCGGCCGCGAAGCCCGCGCCTCCGATGCCGCCGCAGCGGCCGCCGAGCGCGGCGGCCCCGCAGCCGCCGGCCACCGCCCCGACGCCGCTGTCCCCGCAGCCGCCCGCCGCCGTGGCCCCCGAGCCGCCCGCTACCAGCCCGGCACTGCTCCACGGTCGCGGGGCTCAGGGCCAACGACGCGGGGGGGGGGATGGGCATCGAGGTTTCGAGGCTCGAGGTTCGGGAGTTTGCGTCGGCCCTCGTCGGCTTTCCAGCCTCGGGGTGCCTTCAGGCCGCTGCGCCTCGCCGAGGGCGTTCTGGGGGTGCCCGGATCGTCCCGAACGGCCACTGGAGAGCCGAGATACGACCCGAAAACAACGGGACAAGGGCGTAGGGCGTAGGGAGTGGAATCATCTCAGGGGGTGATGCATCGACCCCCAATGGCTCATTGATCGCCAATAGGGGTCTAATAGCCTCAGCAGGCTGCCCAGGAGCAGGCGGAGCGCTCTCGTGGGCCGATCGCCGATCAATCGGCGATGTATCGCCGATTCCAGGTCGATAACCCCTTCCTATGGCAGTCCCACACTTTCGTTGCCCCTCACTGGCGGACTTGTCCCGACCCACCCCCAGACTCACAGCGTCTCGAAACGATCAGCGGCGATCTGGAGCCAAGACGCGGTCAAAGCATGGCGTGGGGTACACAGCAGGCGAATGTGGCACAAGGGAAGACGACAGGGAGGAGGGAGGCGCGCCGGTTTTCGGCCCCCAGGTGCCCTTGCAGCAAGGGCCTTGCTGGGCCTCGGGGCCGTCTATAAGAACGACTCAGAAAGAGAAACCGGTCCCCGGGAAGGGGCCCAGACTTCTGGGATCCGCGGTCGTTTGCGCCGACATCGGCGCGTAAGTTGCCGAAGTAAGGTCGCGCGCAAGCGCCCTCGTCTCCAATGTGGCGCGCTCCGCGCTGGCGGCCGCGTAAGCCACCGTGCAAGTAAGGTTAAGTCGGGCATGTCCCTCTACAGGAGGAGTATCCAAAAATGGTTAGAAAATCGTATGGGGACGACTTTTCTATCATCTTCTACCATTAAAGATTTTTGCTTTGACAAATTTTCATTTTTCGTCCAGAATCCGCCTGTAGGAGGACATGCCCGACCTAAGCGTAAGGTCGCTCTGTCATCACGCTTACTGACCCCTTTCTTTTTCGTTCCCCACTCGTCTCCAGGGGAGCCCGACTAAGTAACCCGCCAGGCCGCCTGGTGGGTCCGGTACGGGTATGCCGATCCCTGAGAGCAGACGTTGCGCATCAGTCGAGACGTCGCGAAAAATGACGTCGGGAGCCATGACTCCCGAGACATGATTATGATCGCGTCGTACAAAAATCAGGACGGGAGGTTTTTGGAAATTTTCGGCCTCGGGGGCCCTCGCCAGGCCTCGGGACCGCCAAAAAACGATTCAGGATGAAAAACCGGCCCCAGGGAAAGGGTCTGGACTTCCAATCAGGACGTCGCATGCTTGAGGTCGGGAGCCACGACTCCACATCTCTGCGCCTCTCTTCGAGCCGGAACGATCTGTGAGGGTCCCGGGGCCCGAAGTGGGGCGAGAAAGCGCCCGGCGTGGGAGAGTGGCAGCGCCCGGGATCTCCGGGCCGGCAGGTGCTCAGCTGCTGAGCTTGCCGGGGGCCATGGTGGCCGACGCGCCGCTCGGGGCCACGCTGCCGCTGGCGCCTCTGGGCGCCGACGGGGCGGTGCTGGACCTGACGGGGGAGGCGGAGGCGGTGCTGGACCTGACCTGCGACAAGGCTCAGAGGGGCGCGGAGGGTCACGGGGCCGATGGGTTCCATCTGGTCCCGGACGTCCCAAGAGTTCCGAGGAGGAGGAGGAGGTACCGATACCGCTACCCTTGCCTCGGTGTCGCGTTTGTGGGCCGCCTGGGAGGCCCTCGTCGCCACCGCTGGATTGGCCTCGACACTTTGGTTAGAACACGCCCTGGGAGGGGTCTGGGGAGTAGCGGTAGCGGTACCTTTTGGTTCCCCCAGATGTTGCCTTCCGAGCCTTCTTAGGAGGTCCGCTACCTCTGCATTCTCCTTTGTGCTCGCCACCTATTCGTTCTTTCCTCGCCCGTCGCCGCCGCCGCCGTCGTCGTCGTCGTCGTCGTCGTCGTCGTCGTCGTCGTCGTCGTCGTCGTCGTCGGCGTCGTCGTCGCCGCCGCCGCCGCCGCCGAGGAGGCGCCCTGCGAGTACGCGGCCGCGTGGCTGTCGGCGTGCAGGGAGCTCTCCCCCGCGGCTCCGTGCTCGGAGGCGCGCTGACCTTCTCGCTCTCTCTGCCATTGCCTGCCGCCAGCGCCGCCCGTCCTGCAGCGCCCAGGAAAGATCGCAACCCAACGGAAGGTCTGGTCGTCTTGGAATGAATGTAAGCTGGCAATTTGCGCCCAATAGCGCCGTATATCACGGAAGGCCCGGTCGTCTTGGAATGAATGTATACCAGGAGTTAGCGCTAAAGGGCGCCAGTCGGCGCCCACTAGCGCCCAGGAACGCCCAAGAGGGGCCCCACACTGAAAGAAGCAGGACACCGCATGTCTGGGAACGTACACTTGCAAGTTGGCCCCCAATAGCGCCGGTTAGCGCCCACTTGCCCGGGAGCTAACTAGCGCCCAACAGAGCCATTTAGCGCCCAATGGCGCCAGTTAGCGCCCGGGAGCGCCCGGTGGCCCTGAGATGGCGCCCAGCGAGGGCCACCAGCGCCCGATGGCGCCGCGTGGGGGACCCCGCGGCGCCGTGCTCGGAGGCCCGCTGGCGGTCGCTCGCTCTCTTTCTGCCTCTGCCGAACGTCGCCGCTTTCCCCCCCCCCCCCCCCCGCACCCCGCTTCTGCAGCGTTCGGGGTGGATCGTAAATCACGGAAGCTTCCGCCCGGCTTGGATTGATCGACTACACGTAAGAGTGACCTTCCGCCAGAGTGGCGTTTTGATGCAGTCCAATTGGGGTCCCCCGATGGCCGAACGCGATACAATAGTAGCGTCTTCTGCGCTTGTGTTTGGTCCCCCCGCCGCCCCCAAAAAGCTGCGCACCAGGGGTCGCTCTTACCGAGGGTCTCTCTTGGGTGTAGCCGAAATGAACGTGTCTAGGCCTTCTAGATGGGGTCGGAGTAGATGAAGGCGGAGGATCGCGCCGCATCGTCGATGCATCGGCGGTGCGGCTCGATGTGGAGCCCGATGTTCTCCACGCTGGTGTCGCCGATGCATCGCCGATGTCGCCTCGCCGATGCATCGTCGATGCATCGGCGATGCATCGCCGATGTATCGGCGATGCGGCGCGATCCTCCGACCCCACCTACTCCAACCCCATCTAGTAGGCCTCTAACCAAGGGGTGATATAAAGTGTGCCGACAATAATGCGACAGCGACACTGCAAGAGAGGATGCGCGTCGGATATCTACGTCGTGCGAAGTGTGCGTGGCCAAGTCGCCAAGAGGACAGGTGGCATTGTACTGGAAGGAGCTGGAGACCCCACTGCTCTATTCAAAACGGGAACCCAACCAAGGGAAGGTGGGGAAACAATCCAGACATTGTATTTTTGAGTCTCTCTATAGCACCCTACCCAACGGCGCCAAGCACCGTCCAACAGCGCACAGAAGCGCCGAATGGCGTTCAAATGTTGCCCAAGAGCAGCACGTAGCGCCCGACAGCTCCGCGTGAGGGAGATGCAGCGTGTCCGCTTTGCGCACTATGGGGTGCGCTATTGGCCTGTATGGGGACGGCCTCCAGCTTCTGCGAGTTGTTTCCTACCCCGGGCTTGCAGCCCGGAGCAAATCCCTATCCCTATGATTGGCACCACCCGATCTCGAGGCCGACCTTGAGGATTCTTCCTTCAGTTTCTGAGAGCGCATTCCTAAGAGTGGCACCGCCTTTGCGCTTGCCAACCTTAGGGATGGGTGTAAGATCGAGGCTTGTTTCGCTCCCCCCTTCGCGTCGGGGATCCAGCATGCGATGGAAGGTAGCCGGTGGCCCTGTCGGCCTCTGGGGGCCCCCCTCCCCGGCACCGAGGCTGTCGAGGAAGGACCGCGGGACGAGAATCCGGTCCTGGGGGGCGGGGTCGGCACGTTGAGAGCGAGACCAGAAGCTTCCGCGAGTTCCCTTCTTCGGGCGGGGCCAGCACGAGGAGAAATCCGTTCCAGGGCGTGCCGGAACGCTCCGGGAAGGCCGCGGCGCCCGAGACATCCTCCAGAGCCGCAGGTTCTCAGAGGCTCTCGATTGATCCGTAATTGCCCGAGTTTGTCCTCGTTCTGGCTTCGTCTTAGCGTGAAGATCGAGGCCAACATTAAGTCGGGCATGTCCCTCTACAGGAGGAATTTTCAAAGATAGTTACCTAACATCGAAGACTGATAGGTTTCTAATGGTGTAAAAAGAGAGCAGCACATTACTCCACAGGGGGGTCTGGGCAGCCGTTGGGGAGCCGTTGGGGGCCGTTGGGGGGCCGTTGGGGTTTGCCGGGGGGGATCGTTTTTCGCATACAGTCACACACTTCGTGCTCTTCGATTTCCCAGAACTCCATTCCCGGGCCACATTCTGAATGCCCGGAGCCAACTGTAGGCCACTTCGTGCTCTTCGACTTCCCAGAACTCCATTCCCGGGCCACATTTTGGATGCCCGGAGCCAACTGTAGGCCACTTCGTGCTCTTCGAGTTCCCAGAACTCCATTCCCGGGCCACATTTTGGATGCCCGGAGCCAACTGTAGGCCACTTCGTGCTCTTCGAGTTCCCAGAACTCCATTCCCGGGCCACATTTTGAATGCCCGGAGCCAACTGTAGGCCACTTCGTGATCTTCGAGTTCCCAGAACTCCATTCCTGGGCATGATTTTGAATGCCCGGAGCCAACTGTAGGCCACTTCGTGTTCTTCGAGTTCCCAGAACTCCATTCCCGGGCCACATTTTGAATGCTGAGGCAGGCTGAGGCTGAGGCTGAGGCAGGCTGAGGCTGAGGCAGGCTGAGGCTGAGGCCGAGGCTGAAGGCAGACTGAGGCTGAGGCTGAAGCAGGCTGAGGCTGAGGCTGAGGCAGGCTGAGGCTGAGGCTGAGGCAGGCTGATGCTGAGGCAGGCTGAGGCTGAGGCTGAGGCTGATGCAGGCTGAGGCTGAGGCAGGCTGAGGCTGAGGCCAAGGCTCAAGGCAGACTGAGGCTTTGGCTGAAGCAGGCTGAGGCTGAGGCTGAGGCAGGCTGAGGCTGAGGCAGGCTGAGGCTGAGGCTGAGGCAGGCTGAGGCTGAGGCTGAGGCTGAGGCGGAGGCTGAGGCTGATGCAGGCTGAGGCTGAGGCAGGCTGAGGCGGAGGCCGAGGCTGAAGGCAGGCTGAGGCTGAGGCTGAGCAGGCTGAGGCTGAGGCTGAGGCAGGCTGAGGCTGAGGCTGAGGCAGGCTGATGCTGATGCAGGCTGAGGCTGAGGCTGAGGCTGAGGCTGAGGCTGAGGCTGAGGCTGAGGCTGAGGCTGAGGCTGAGGCTGAGGCTGAAGGCTGACTGAGGCTGAGGCTGAGGCTGAGGCTGAGGCTGAGGCTGAGGCTGAGGCTGAGGCTGAGGCTGAGGCTGAGGCTGAGGCTGAGCTGAGGCAGGCTGAGGCTGAGGCTGAGGCTGATGCAGGCTGAGGCTGAGGCAGGCTGAGGCTGAGGCCGAGGCTGAAGGCAGACTGAGGCTGAGGCTGAAGCAGGCTGAGGCTGAGGCTGAGGCTGAGAGGCTGAGGCTGAGGCAGGCTGATGCTGAGGCAGGCTGAGGCTGAGGCTGAGGCTGATGCAGGCTGAGGCTGAGGCAGGCTGAGGCTGAGGCCGAGGCTGAAGGCAGACTGAGGCTGAGGCTGAAGCAGGCTGAGGCTGAGGCTGAGGCAGGCTGAGGCTGAGGCTGAGGCAGGCTGAGGCTGAGGCAGGCTGAGGCTGAGGCCGAGGCTGAGGCAGACTGAGGCTGAGGCTGAAGCAGGCTGAGGCTGAGGCTGAGGCAGGCTGAGGCTGAGGCTGAGGCTGAGGCAGGCTGATGCTGAGGCAGGCTGAGGCTGAGGCTGAGGCTGATGCCAGGCTGAGGCTGAGGCAGGCTGAGGCTGAGGCCGAGGCTGAAGGCAGACTGAGGCTGAGGCTGAAGCAGGCTGAGGCTGAGGCTGAGGCAGGCTGAGGCTGAGGCTGAGGCAGGCTGATGCTGAGGCAGGCTGAGGCTGAGGCTGAGGCTGATGCAGGCTGAGGCTGAGGCAGGCTGAGGCTGAGGCCGAGGCTGAAGGCAGACTGAGGCTGAGGCTGAAGCAGGCTGAGGCTGAGGCTGAGGCAGGCTGAGGCTGAGGCAGGCTGAGGCTGAGGCTGAGGCAGGCTGAGGCTGAGGCTGTGACTGCGACTGCCGTTGCCACTGCGACTGTCATCGCGAATGCGACTACGACTGCGAGAACAGCAGAATTCTACAACTGGATTCTCATCCGAATCTTAAGGGGAATGCTTCCAGATATGCTCCTACACATTGATGTTAGGTTGCTTTGCCGGGATAATCAACAAATAGTCCTGGGACGGCGTTTCAACTATTTTCGCCTATGCTTGCACGTTGTGCGATTGATTTTGTTTCTCGTCCCGAATCCGCCTGTAGGAGGACATGCCCTACCCAGGACCAAAAGCTTCCTCGAGTTCCCTTCCCAGACATGGAACGTCCTGATTTTTTCAGGACGGCGTCCCCAGAAGTCCAGACCCTTTCCCCGGGGCAGGTTTTTCACCCTGAGTCGTTTTGTTGACAGTCCCCGGGGGCCGGCGAGGGCCCCCCGAGGTCGACATGGGAAAACAACCCTTCGTCTTCTTGGTTTGTCTACGACGCGATCCTGCCTTGGAACGAAGGATTGCAAAAAAACCTAGGATTGCAAAAAAAACTCTCCAGAACGAAGGATTGCAAATCCTTCGAAGGGTTTTTTGCAATCCTTCGTGCAAAGCCTAGGTTTTTTTGCAATCCTTCGCCCCCCTCCAGGTCTGCTCGACGCGGTCCTCCTGGTCGGGCTTCGACGGCGCGCCCGTCGCCGGCGGCACGCCCGACTGGCAGCCGCAGGTGCCCCGCCGCCTGCCTGCCCCGGGCGCGCCGCGCGGAGCTCCGCTCGGCGGGCGAGCTGCGAGCTGCCGGTCGGCGCCGCGCTCCGAGTGGGACCCTCGCCGATGCACCCGTGCATCCTTCGGGCGTGTGTCTTTTTTTCTCGGCGAGGACCCTGGAGGAACATCCTGGATCATCGAGCGAAAGGAAGCACACGCACGGAAGCGAAAAATGGACGGGGAATGGACGTCCGAGCGATGGCCGATGCGCTGTTCCCAGAGATCCAACGCATTATAGAAATCAAGACGGAGATTTCTCGCAGGTCTCGTCCTCTAGGGGCCTTCGCCGGGCCCCAAGACCGTCAAATAACGGGGCAGGATGAAAACCGGTCCTCGTGAATGGTTCGAGACTTCCGGGGAGCCCGTATTGAAAAAATCACGACATCGGATCTCTGGGTTTTCAAAGAAGGAAATGGTACCCATGCCTCGAAGAAAAAACGACGGCATAAATAAACGTTGGGCGCTCCTCGCAGATTTCTTGGATCGGCGCCTGGGCCCCCCGGCGGTGCCTCCGGCGCCGCCCCTGGCGCGCTCCGCGTGCCAGGAAGGGGGGTTCGGCGCGGATCCAAGAAATCCGCGCGGAGCGCCAGAAGTGTATGTTTATACCGTTTTTGTGGTTGTTCCTAAATACCGCTACCCTTCCCTCGATCTCCCCTTTCTGGGCCTCCTGGGGGGCCCTCGTCGCGACCGCTGGATTCGCCCCAAGATCCTGGTCAGAACGCACTCCGGGAGCTGTCCGGGGAGTAGCGGTATCGGTGCCTTGTGGTTTCCCAAATTCTGGTCGGCGCCGATCTCCAAGTTTTGGCCTCGCCGATCCGCGATTCAGGGTCCATTCGTTGGGCGGCTGTGGCAGGGTCCAGACTGTCCAGACTTCATCGGCACACGTGGCGGAATCCGAGCTCTCCCCCCGCCGCCCATCGTTTCAGGAGAATCGATGGTTGGAGGGGGTAGGGTTCGGATGGAGCGTGTCTTTAGATCCCCTGGGCCATCTCGCGCGTTATTCCCCCCCCTACAACATAACGCTCCCCCCTCGTAGTGCGCCTCCCGTACTGCCCATCTGATGCTCGCAGGCCACTGTGATGCTTGCAGGCTTCTTTAACGTTCATGGCCTAGGGTGTCGACCCCCCGAGTCCCTGAGACCGGCTTTTCATCCCGAGTTGTTTGTTGACCTTCCCGAGGCTCTGTAGGGGCCCCCAGAGGCCAAAAATTAGAGAGAAACCTCCCGTCGTGTTAGCACAGATACCACAACATATGTTTTGGTTCCCAAGCATCCTGTGGTGTTAAATCCCTTTTATGAAGAGACGGTCCCCGCGTCCCCATTTCTCCTCTTCTCTCCTCCTCTCCTTTCCTCCTCCTTTCGCTCATCCTTTCACTATTGCTTCTGCCCTCCGCATGTCAACCAGTTCGGCACTCCCGTCACCCCCCTTACTTTGGCAAACCCCTCACACGTCTTTTGGCCCCATGAGGAGCTCCACTGAAGGCCCCAGTGGCGGCGCCCGCATGCCGCCACCCCCCTCACTTTGGTACACTCCTCCGCACACGTTTCGCGGCCCCATAGAGAGCTCCACCGAAGGCCCCAGTGGCTGCGTCCGCATGCCGCCACCCCCGTCACTTTGGCACACCCCTCACCCGTGTCGTAGCCCCATGGGGAGCCCCCCACCGCAGTCCCCGGTGTCTGCGCTCGCATGTCTTCTCCCGCTTCTCCCGGTGCCTGTCAGCCGCAACGGTTTGCATCCGCATGTAACTCGTTTCGTCTTACCACCGCACCCCTTGCGGGCGGCCCCAGCGACTGCGTCCGCATGGCGGCCCGGCGTTCCCTTCACGCGTTTCGTGGCCCTGTAGGGAGGAGCTCCACCGAAGGCGGTTTTCACAATGACGGTATATACAACTGCAGATGGCTGGGTCCTTCGCCAGGACCATCTTGTACATGAGAAGAAGAACAAAAATGGCAACAAACAAACAAGCATGCCAGACATAGCCAAAGCCAGCGAGGAGGTTGCGTTCGGCGGCGCGTCCAGGGTCCAGACATGCGAAGTCCTGGTTTGTTCAGTGCGGCGTCCCCGGAAGTCCATGACCCCTTCCCAGGGGCCGGTTCCTCATCCTGAGTAGTTTTCTGACGGCCCGGGGTCCCAGCGAGGGCCCCCAGGGGCCGAAATTAATGAAAACGTGCCGTCCTGATTTCTGTTACGCCGCGATCATGCATTGACTAATGTGACTAAGGAGCCCAAATTGGGAAATATTTCATGCAGATGCAGTAGTTACAACGCGCTGGGGGGACGAGGCGAGAACTGGCGAGGGGTGGCCGAGGTGCCCTGGACGCCTGGCCGCAAGGAGGAGGCGCTGGCCGGGGCGGCGCCCAGAAGCCCGCGGGCGTCGGCCGTCCACGAGGTGCTCCAGCGGCTCGGCCAGGAGGCCTCCGCACCACCGGGCCCTAGGTCGGGCATGTTCCTCTACAGGAGGAATGTTCAAAAATGGCGAAAAAGAGTCTGGGGATGATTTTTCAATTATTGTTTGACCTCTCTGGAATATTTGGTGACTAATGTTCTACTTTTCGCCCGGAATCCGCCTGTAGGGAGACATGACCGACCTAAATTTGGCACTCTCTCGCGTCGCGCAGCGATCACGACGGAATGTGTTGGGCAATTTTCGGCCTCGAGTCGAAGAAGAAACAACCACATAATTATAAGTTGTTGGCGCTGCTCGCGGATTCCTTGGATCTGCGCTGGGCCCCCCTGGCGGCGCCTCGGGCGCCGCCCCTGGCGCGCTTTTCGCGCCATGGAGGGGGTCCAGCGCAGATTCAAGCAGTCCGCGCGCAGCGCCAAAAGTTGATGTTTATGTGTTTATGTTCTTCTTCTTCTATCGAGGTTCGAGGTTTTTTCTGGCGTTCTCGTCGGTTCTCGGCGGCTTTCCAGCCTCGGGAGGCTCTCCAACAGCTGCGCCTCGCCGTAGGCGTTCCAGGTGTGGTCGGATCCTCCCGAACGGCTACCAGCGAGCCATTTATGTCCCGAAACCCAGACATGCTCGCACTGTGACAAGAACACACAAGACGGGAGGTCTTTGGCCATTTTCGGCTTCCTGGGGCACTCGCAGTGCTCCAGGACCTTCCAAAAATGTCGGGGGATGGAAAGCGGACTACGGAAAGGGGGTCGGGAGAATTCCAGGGGTCCACGTCGTGAAAACGATAACAGTGTCGGAAGTCTGTGCTTGTCATGACGAATAGCCATGAAGAAGAGAGGTCTTGAAAGGTTTGCAGCCGTTTCCTGGAGCCGCAACACCCCACTTGAGAGAGGCAGAAAGACGGGCTCGATTGCGCGAACGATGGCCCGTTAATTGCCCGCCTGAGGTCGCTGGTGAGCGCTTTCGTTTCTACTTGGTGTGCCGCGACGGCGGTCTGCGCAAGCCACCGCGCCACCTCGCACTGTCAAGGCCGTCCGGGGCCAGCAGGTGTGGGCGATGTCAGCTGGCTTGTTAACGTTGCTTCGACTGCTGTTGGCGGAACCTGTGGCGCGACCAATACATCGGCGTGCCGCAAGGTTCGTGAC